GAGCTGCAGAGGTCAGGTAATTTCGGGGAGGTGAGGTTTCAAAGGAGGGATTTTGCCTTCTGGGCGGGGTCTGGTCCTTAGAAAAACGGCCCCATAATGTCACCCTCGTTGCGCAAGCCTCTTTGATAGTCAGCTTTTTGGCTGTCTAAGATATCTTGTTTGGATATCTTAATCGCTTGCGAAGCGGCCTTGGTTGTGTGGAGGTCATTCTAAGTGAGCAACCTAAGCTCTGAGAGCTGTTGTTCGAGCTGTGAAATGTGAGCCTTCATTTCGGCTATGTCCTCCGCTTGTGATTATGCTGCTCGTTCCTGTGCTAATTGGAGTTCTCAATCATGGTTTCTTTTGGACACCTTATAAGGGTGTCAGCTTCTGTCTGAAGGACTATACCGCATGGGGAGAGTACTCTCATCCGAGCCTCCTGCGCTACGTCAGGTATGAAGCAGAGTAGATGGCATGGGGTAAGAAGATAGAACTTGCAGTTCAGAAAGAAATGGATTTGACAAAACAACACAACGATTGTGAGAACTCTTTCTAGTTGTGTTAAATGCGAGAGACTTAGATTTCTAAGTTCCTTTTTACGGAAAGAATAGAGCAAATGTGTAAATGTGCGCAAAAACGAGTGATATACCACAACGGATATGTCTAATAACTTTCCAAGGAGAGCACGTCAAAAATTTCAACTTGGCACCAACTAACCGCAGACAGGCCAGATGACAACGGCCAATCGATCATCCAGAGTTCCTTCAGTAGTAAGCCACGTGTTGGTCCCTACCGCTACGAGTGTTCTTTATTGTAGTTCTATACATTTTCTTCTCGTCCCAGTCATCCCCGCCTCTGCAAGGGAAAAGAAACGAAAAAAGAATATCTTCTCCCCTTGTTCGGGCGATAGACTTCACATTTGGAAGCGTTCCCCTGTTTGGGTAGTTAGTAAATGAAAAAACCTACTACTGTTTTCAGACCTTAACGTATGCGTCTACTTCGAGAAATAAGTTTAATCAGCGCTTATCGAGCTCCTTTTTGAAAGCACGTACGCCCCCTAGCTCCACTAACTCCTGTGGTAACTTATTTCATGAGTTGACTACCCTGTTCCTGAGGTAGTTTGAGCGCACCGCTAGTCTCGTGCGCACTTTCTTCAGCTGTGCCCCCTAGTATTGCTCTGCATCCTCTCGAAGAACATTGCTTGATCGGTCCCTCATAGGCCATTAATAATTTGGAATGCCTCTATCGAGTCACCTCGGAGTTTTCATCTCTCCAAGGAGAAGAGATCAAGGTCCTGCAGTCTCTGCTTATATGACTTTTCTCGCTGTCCTTCGATCATCCTAGCTGCTAATTGTTGGACTCCCTCGAGAAGAAGGGAGCCTAAAGTTGTATACAATACTCCAAATGCTGTCGAACAATGGCCTTGTATAGAGGTACGAATACCTCCAGTTTCCTACATGTTGGTGCCGACCTCAATCTAAAAAGCTCTCTACGGGCACGGTGTGCCGCTGTGGCACACTGTTCTGCCCATTTGTACTCTGTTGTTACTATGGTTCCTAAATCTGTAGCTTTCTGTATCGTTCCTAGTGAGAGACCGGCATGATTGCTCTTCACTATCGGCCTCTCGTTGAGATGACTCTTTCCTATGTTGAGAGGCAGATCCCATGTACTTGACCACTGGAGCACTTCTCCTATGTCCCGCCCTAGTTTCGCTCTCCCATTTCATCTTACAACTTTGACGACGTCCGCAAACATATAGCTAGGCGATCCAAGGCGTTCAGGTAGATCATTGATATAGGGCAAGAAAAGTAGTGAACCTAGAACTGATCCTTGAGGAACACCACTGGCAACAGTTTCCACTGGTGAGTTCACTTCTTCGACCCGAACCTGGACGGTCCGATTGGTCATGAAAGCTGTCAGCCACTTGTAGATGTTACCCCTTATCCATAGGGCATCTATCTTGGCCAAAATCAGGCGATGAAATACTGAGTCAAATGCTTTGCTAAAGTCCAGATAACATACTTCCACTTCCTTACCCTCGTCCAATCTTGTGGTGAGTTCATCTAAAAAGTGCGAGAGATTGCTCAGAAAGGATTTTCCCTTCAGAAACCCATACTTTGCCGTAATCAGCAAGCGGTACTAAGTGAGGTATTCTCATAAGTGGGTTCTGATAATTGGCTCTAGCGCTTTACACAAGATGCTTGTGAGAGGTCTGCACTAACATGCAGGAAACTGGAGGTATTCGTACTTCTATACAAGGCCATTGTTCGACCACATTTGCAGTATTGTATACTAGCTTGGGCTCCCTTCTTCAAAAGAGACGTCTCTCGTTTCCTTTCATCTCATCGGCAAACGAGGGACATGGCTCATGAAGGCGTTCCACAGTACATTAAAAACCCTATTCTGGAAAGCACTCCATCCATCGATGATCCAGAGCAAGCTTAAATCCAGTCACGATTCCCAAGACTACCAAGTCCTTTCGCAACCGGTTCCAACTGTTCACTACTCTGTTACTGATGAAGCTGGATCTAAAAACCAGGTTGCACCACTGCTTATGCAGTTTGTGTCCGTTTCCAATAAATCTCACCTTAGTGTTCTCCTTTCTAGCGCGAAGAGTCTCAAGTCCTTTAGTCTGTCTTGGTATGACTTATCCTTTTTGCCTTCAGTCATTCACGTCACTTGTCTTTGGACTTTCTCTAAACAGGCTGCATCCTTTTTGAAGAAGGGTACCCAAGTATGCAGGCAGTACTCCAAGTGCGGCCTAACTATGGCTTTGTACAAGGGGAGGAATACTTTGGGTTTCCTACACGATAGCACTGACTTGAGCCTGAACAGCTCTCCTCGCCCTCGCTGCAGCCAGTACACACTGGTTCTCCCAGCGGAAGTCTGCCGCCATCGATATTTCTAAGTCTCTGCTGGTTCTTACAATCCCTGCGGTGAAATCCCCCCACCTAATTGGATTAAAAATTCTTCATCTGCACGGGAAAGTAAATTGCTTTTCTCTGCATTCAGTGAGAGGTCCCATAATGTTGCCCGTTCCGTTGCTCTTTGCAGGTCATCCCGCAATTGCTGCAGACTGGCTGATCCCACTGTCTTGACATCATCTGCAAAAATGAAGCATGGTGAATGTAGGATAGCGGCCAAGTCGTCTATTAAAATGAGGAACTGTAAAGAACCAAGCACTGAGCCCTGGGGTGCACCATTGGTGAGTATGGTTTTGGCTGATAATTTGTCTCCAATCCTCACGTAAAACGCGCAAATTCACTGATCCAGTTATGTATCTTCCCGCCTATCCCCTTCAGTTTGAGCTCAGCCAACCGCTCCCTGTGGTTGCCGGAACCAAAAGCTTTGCTAAAGTCTATATACTAGATCTCCACAGCTTTGCCCTCATCTAACCTCGAGATTACCTCATCTAAAAACACAGTAAATCAGCTAAGCATGAGCCATCCTTGATAAACCCGTGCTTTTGGTTAGTAAGCAGCGTGTTTCGGATTAAATGCTGTGTAATGTGCGTACTTGCAATCCTTTCTGGGAACTTGCACAATATACTCGTTAGGCTCACCGGCGTCTAATTCCTAATAAGAGATTGTGCTCCTACCTTGTAAATGGCAAAACCTGCAGCTGTTTTCCATTCCCTCGGTAGCCCTGATCTAGGCTGGCTTCGTATAAATCCCTTAGCGGTCCCGCTACTATATCCGCGATCGGTTTGACGATTGCCGGGTGGATTCCAGCGGGTCATGGAGACTTACTTACTTTCAATTCCACTAATATCCATTGAACTGTTTCTAATGCCACATAAGTATCCTCTATTTCCTCTGTTGGGGAGGGGGCGAGATCCGGTAGTGTTAGGTAGCCGCGATCTACTTTATGCACACTGCTGAAGTGTGTGCAGAAGGCGTCTACTTTTTCCTGGTCATCGATAACGATCCTACCCTCCAATTGTAGAGGTCTCATCATCCTTTTATTGGGGTGCTTGGCTTGGGCTTAGTTATAGTAGTGATGTATTGATCGATCTGTGAAAATCCTTCCTGTAAAGCCCAGTCAATCTATCTCAGTTCCACATTTCGTGAATTTCACGCTCAATTCACCTAACATCATCCGCCTCATACATACAAAAACATCTGACGTTCCATCCCCTTTGTATATTTACACATCGATCCTACCATTTGATTTTGTTTGTTTATCTGCTTCATTCGTATCCTCCTTGTTTTAATCGCGACCTGAGCGCTGACATTTGGCTCGTTCGTCTGCAGCGTTCAGATTTGTTGAATTACGCTCACGGTAACACTTGGCTCTTGTTTTCAAGTTGTTTCGAGATAACTTCGAGGTTGATACAGTTTTTATTTGCTTATTTGATCGTTTATTAATGACGTACCGTGGAAACTTGCTAAATCGTTCGTTTTATTGATGTTTCGGGATTCGAATTTGGCTACGGGTTACTCGTTGGTCTATTCGGAAGGCACAGTACTCAAATTCGTGCAACTTGTGACAAGAGAATATCTTTCGAACATGAACAAGTCGAGTAGGAAGGACAGAAAGTAACCCGGGAAGTCACTGGGGAATTTGGGAGGTCTTTGATTCTCACATTTATAATGCAGTTGGTCCTGTAAGTGTTAGAAGTTTATGTGCCTTGGATCGCGATGCCGACGTTAAGGTGTCCGATATATATTTCCGTAAGATTGTAGCGTTTGTAACTCCCAAACAGATCAACGAGCGACGCGTAGCCGGAATTGGATCCCAAATCGTCAACGATCCAGCAAATTTCTACGTTACTCAAAGTGATCTTGAAACAACTTGAAAACAAGAGCCAAGTGTTACCGTGAGCGTAATTCAACAAATCTGAACGCTGCACACGAACGAGCCAAATGTCAGCGCTCAAGTCGCGATTAAAACAAGTAGGATAAAAATTGAAGCAGATAAACAAACAAAGTCAAATGGTAGGATCGATGTGTAAATATACAAGGGGAGTGGAACGTCAAATGTCTATATGTATGTGAGGCGGATGATGTTTGATGAATGGAACGTAAAATTCACGAAATGTGGAACCGAGTTGGAATGACTGGGCTTTACAGGAAGGATTTTCACAGATCGATCAATACATAGGATGATGCACCTGTCACTCGAGATAAGGCGAGGACGTAAGCCGAAGTTTCAGCCACGAAAAATTAAAAACGCATGTAGATGCTCTGGCTTTGAATAATGATGTTGGTCTGAAAACGCTGAAACCAGACTCTAAAGCCAAAACGAGTCATCAGCCGAAGCACCGTAGCGTAGAGAAAATGCCCCAGGTTGTTGAATCAGGAATGCATTGGAAGCGAGTACAGGACGACCGTGTAGGCACACTGAAATCCCTTGAAGTGCAGCTGCGCGAAGTCCAGGCGAACCCAGAGTTCTTTAGAAGAAAGGCGAATGTAGCGGGATTTAGACAAAGGACGGTCTTGATCTTGAACAGTGAAGAACCGTTCATGAAAGAATCTAAGGCTGGTCGAGAAATGGACCGGCGAAGAGTTCAGGATGTCCTACAGGCAGCTTTTTATGCCATCCGTTAGCATAAAGATGATATCTAGGGTGGGAATCTGGAAGAGTTCTGAACCAGCGGGATTTCGCAGGGCCAGACCCCTACTTGTTGAGTTCGTGGAGCCAACTTGTAGGGATAATCTGCTTGCAAACTCCCAGAGAATTTTGGATGCTACCTGGTGCTGGCGTAAGGTAGTGCCTGACAGGAGTCAGAACACATGGCAACCGAACGGCAACTTATGGCCGGTTGAGCGGAAGTAATTGAACCTCCATTTTAAGAAACAGAGTCCATCGCAGATAAGGACGGGTAGAATATCCCCTGTCGTAGTCATAGAGGATGTCTTAAAAAAACGAGCAGTGGAAAAGTTTCGTACAGCCGGAGTCGGAGGTGAGTAAGGACAGAGATGGATCCGTAGATGGCTCCGGGTCCACTACACCGCTCAGGAAGACCTCAACGCCCAGCGAGATGAACTCGGCCTTACGGCCTAAAACAGGTACATTTATAGAACAACTTATAGACACGTCAAAAAACTTGTTGTTCCCTCGGGTGCTGCTTGCGAGGATCACGCGAGAACAGGAAAATTAAGAGCCCGGAGGGAGTTATACGTAGGGGACGGTTAAGTTGTAGTATTATATACAAATGTATGCAGTATAAAGAATAAGTGGGGTGAAACCCTAAACATGGCAATGAACACAAAGAGGCTGTAGTAGCCGTCCCAGAATCATGGCTCGTTAGTCACGACCATGTCCCGGCACTGGCTCGTGAAGCCTATGAGGTTCATAGACGAGATCGGAATCCGTAGCTGCAGGGTGGGGGAGTACTCATATTAGTTGGGAAAGATATCCAACAAGTTCGGTGGAATATTCAAGTCTGCACGAGTAATATACAGATGTGTTCAGTCACCATCGCCGCCGAGGGGCACAAAACCAATATTGCGTGTGTATATAGGAGTCCTAGTGCAATGGAAACGGACGACGAGCAGCACTGGATATGCTGGCATGGATGCCTCATAAGCTAGTAATACTGGGGGACTTCAAACGATCGGGTATAAAATGGGACATTGGCAGGTCTTTGAACGATATACAGGAGCATGGCTTTGTAGATTGGCTGCATCTCAAAGCAATGCACCAATACGTAACAGAAAATACGCGTTTTAGGTCGGAACAGAAACCATCTCTGCTGGACCTCCTTATCACACGGTACGATAGGGATGTGCAGGAAGTCGGCTTCTACCCCCCAATTTGAAAGAGCGACCACGTGTTTATTAAGTTCATACTAGAAAAATGCTACAGAAACCACATGAACGCAAGGCGCGCTGCTTCGGAAAATTGGATGTAAGTGGACTACAAAGGAAGGCAGCTGAGCTCGTCTGGCAGCCAGCCGAAGATAGATTTGTAGTGGAGGATGTCTGGAGAATAATTAGGATGAACTTACTTGCATTGCAGGATGAGTTTGCGCCTCTGAAACTGCAAAAGTCATTCGGTAAACCACCTTGGTGAAAGGCTTCCATTGTAAAGGCAATACGCCGTCGTAACGCCAGCTGGAAACGATACCGGGAGGTAGGATCGCAGCTGTCGTGGATGCGTTACGTAGGCCACAGGAACGAGGCTGTTCGCGTTGTTCGAAGCGAAAAGCGAAAATACGCACTACA